GATCTGCTGGGTAGATCTAAGAGGAGATCCATAAATGTCAGAACACTTTACTGAATTTAAATTCTACCTAAGGAGGAATAAGAAAGAAGTCAGGCTGGTCAGATAACAACATCAGTTGGAAAGGTACTATGTTATGCAAAAAAGTTTGCAAAAGATAAAATATCAGTAAACATTGAAAATACGGGTAGGCTGCCAGTGGAAAATGCATCTTAGAAAGAAGAGGAGACATTATAACAAGGAAATGCAAACATAAATAAAAGGCAGAAAATATTAAGATGCAACTTACCTTTTTATGTTTCAGAAAATACCAAAATATCAATATAACATTACACACTCTTAATACCTAAGTCAGTTCCGAACAGTAAAATAACTTTTTTTTCAGTGAACTTATCCACCCTATCCTTACGGTTTACTTTGCCTTATCACAAGTGCTTTGCTTTGCTGCATATTCAAACTTTTAGTGTTTATAAATTAGACTTTTGTGTTGCAGCCAAAATCACCACCAAAATTCTTGTTTTCCTCCATAAATTGCAAGATGAACTACTGCTACATTTGTGAAGGTGACACTAAGTATATATAATTTGGAATTTCAAGCTAATTGCAAAGAAAACAATCCAAAGAATTCCTGAGCTTGTCTATCCAGATTCAATTCACTGAAATTCCTTATTTTAAAAATGCAAATATATTTGATATCAACTTTTTTAAGCACAGGATATAAACTTGGGCCGTATGAAAGCTATGAGAGAAAGGAACAGGCAGGTTATCTGTTTTTGCATATAGATATGTTTGCATTTCCATATAATAGATCTGCATATATTTGGATCTATATTTTTTCAAATCTATGGGAAAACATGATTCAGATTATATATCATGATCTTATAAAATCCTACTACTTCATAATTACATTAATCTAGTTAGACTCTTTTCCCCTTCTGGAAGATCTGACTATTCAAATCTGTCATGCAGTTAAAGAAGAACTCATTTACAAGAGAAGCATGAAAGTTAAGTATACTACATCTGCCCTTGCACAAGGGAAAAGGGAAAGCATAGCTCCTTGGTGGCATCTAAGGTATTTTAGCATTCATTTCCTCACTTTGTGTTTTATGCAGCTTCATGTATATCTATCTTGTGCCATACACAAATGTCGGTCAGTTTTACTTAAAATAATCTGCATAATTCATTTACAGCTATGATGTTTATGAGTATTGAAAATTTCCCATCTTTTGCCCATAAAGCTTTCATATCACATCACGTTCTTTATCTAATGATTTTTTTTGGCTTAGTATTACTTATAGCAATAGTAGTAAAAAGCATTATTCTAAGGCAGATTACACAAATAGGGAAAATTTCCACAGGGAAAATTTTTCCTTGAAAAACATAATTAGACCTTATCTACATTGGAGCTGCACTTAAAATTGTTTCGGATTTGAATTTTTTTTTGCAAATAGTTATTTAAAAAGCATGAAAATGTGTCTCTTCAACCTCAACAATAAAATCAGTTTTGCTCAAGGGGATTAAAACAAGCTATGCTAGAAAAGTACCATTTTCTTAATGTAAACTTCAACCACATTAAAAATACCTTATTTTACAAGTACCTTACTTCACTATCAGCACGGTATGCCAGGATTCTGCTATTAACAATGTGCAGAAGCAGCAACATCAGATCTTTCCTCTATCAGTCAGACTTACAAAAATTTAAAAAACGTGAAAAGGAACATGCAACAGGTTTCAAAAAAGAAAAAGAATTTTCACTATCTTGCAATCACCTCAAGAAATTCTGATTTCTCCTTTAATTGAGAGAACAAAAAAGGACAGCAATAGAAAGTAAGAGTTAAAAGAAAATGGGCTTGAGAACGTATTCAAAAATGGTATAAGGATTCTTACTTCTGAGGACTGTTTTTTCAGGCACAGATAGCAATGCACAACAGGTGAGAAAATGCAAGTCAGAAATGGAATAAAAGGTAACTACCTAAAAGAAATTGGAATTCTTAACAGAAATGACCGCAACTGAGCTGAGCTCTAAGCTGGTTTACTTATTATTATTAGCTAGATGGTCCATGATCATTGCTAAGTAGCCAAGGAGCTCCTTATAGGCTTCTGAAAACAGAACTGGACCCTGGACACAAATTATGTTACTATCACAGAAATTTACCCTTGTATGGACCTGCAGAACAGCTTCTTTTCAGAAGAGCTACTTAATAACCAGGCCCAGTAGCAAAAATACTATCCTGTTAGGCAACCTAGACTGAACAAACCAGTTGCTCTACCATTTCAAAGGTAAACATAAGCTCATGGGACATTCTTCAGACGTTTAAAAAAGCTAAATGGTTGTAGCAGATAACTGATTATTCCACATTGAAAATGCATTGCTAAATTCTTGTTTAAGTGTCTTTTTTAGTTTTTGATGAAATACATACTCACTGTAATGACGATTTTCATTTCATCATGTTATTTTTCAGGACTTTATCATTCTTCTAAATACAATTATACTTTATAGTATACATTTTTAACATTTGGTATTTCATATCATTTTATGCATGTTTATGGTAACATGTGCATAACTGATATATCTTCATTAAAAGGTAACCCAGGAAAAAAAAAGAAAATAAACTTGCGACTCAAGTACCTAATGCATTTGGTGTTTCTCCATAATAGCAATTTCATTAAGCTGCAGTTAGTGTACAGTTATTTAATTTCAGCACAAATTCCATCATTTTGCTTGTTGCACAGAGAAAACTGCAGAAATTATCTGCACTGAAACTGTGAAGTAGATCCTAGAGACTTAAAATGTTAAGTGTCCTATACCCCTAAAACTCTGCAGTTGTCAAAAACTTGGCCAATGCAGTGCTTTGAGGTCTGTTTTGTCAAAGTAGCATTATATTTGTGAAGGAATATTGTTAACAGTGACTGCACAAGTTTAGGACCTCTTGAGGTTACCATGGAAAGGCTATCCTACAATAGCAGACTAAGGTATTTCGGTACAAATTACTCTCTGTAAATACATTATGGGAAATAGATATGGCAGGGAACAGGAGTTTTTAAACCACAGAATAATATTGATGCTATAAGAATAAACAGGACATGAATAAATTGAGACTTGAAATTAGAATGGATTCCTAAGCACCGGGGCATGTTGGGCTGAAAGAATAATGATGATGGTGAAAGAATCTAACAGCTTTTAAGATGAAGATCAATATGTTTATGAAACTTATCACATGAAAGAGTGCCTGAATTAAGGACCTGATGATATATTTGCAACTCATTTTTGAATGCTGTGAAGTGTCTTCTTCACGTAGCAGTCTTGTGTCATAAGCTGGTCTCTTACAAATCACCTTGTTTTAAAGTGTGTGGATACGAAATGCTGAAAAGCACATCAGAAAAAATGGTAATGCTAGCCTGTGAAAAAGCCCAAATAGTCTACAGAGTTGTTCGGATACTGAAGAAGAGGCTTGGAAATAATAACCAAGCCTTAATAACCAAGTTACAATTTAAATTGTCATATCCAGATACCTTAATGAAAAAAGGATATAATTTTTCAAAGCCCACCCTTTCCCCCCAACAAATTGAGGCACCTTAGGTATGAAAATTTTGGCCAACCCTAGACTTAATATGCCTATATCAGGGACATATGAAGTCCCAATTTCATAGGGATGCCTATGCAGTTGCATGATAAAATCATACGCTTCAAGACAGAATTTATGCTGGAAAGGAGAAGTGAGGGGAGATGTGGAATAACCCTCACCTTTCTCTGTAGTTTACCACTAATATAAACCATTTCTCTCACTGCCTTTATTCCACTGGTGTGTTCTGAAGCGCTATATCAGATGAAAGACAGGCTCTTAGTAACACACAAGCTTCAGGAATATTAAAGCTATTCACATGCGGCTATAATCTGGAATTAGCATGGATTTTCCTGAGAGTTTGCACACTGGATGCGCACAACCACGCTCTGTCATTAATAGCCTGCAGGCACAGCAGGGAGCGAGGGCTGCCGGGTTCCTGATGCAATATAAATATCCAAGGATAAGAGAAACTTCGCTTATGCAGAGCAGCACCAGGCTCGACGGCAACCCCGCGCCCCGCAGCGCTGGCGGTGGGTAACGACGGCCGCAGACGTTGGAGCGAGGCGCGTCGAGCCCGCTTACTTACTGAAGGGGTCCTGGCCCGCCCGGCCTCTGCGCCTTGCCTGCAGCTGCGTCGGCACAGGGAGGGC